GCAGTGGCATGAGGGTTTATCTGGAGAGATGAGGTTACTGGGTAAGGGAAGTAAAGTGAGACTGTGGAAGAGTGGCCCAGTGGAGATTAGGTAAGCAACACCGTGGAGGATGGATTGAAGGACTTTGGAGAGTGATCAAGACTAGAGTCTGTTGCAGTGGTACCAGATGAAATTGTGTGGGAGTGAACTAGAACAGTGCCTGTAGAGTTGGAGAGGTGGGACTAATTTAAGAAACACTCAATATATAGAATGGACAAGGACAGTCATTCATTAGATAGGAGGAAAGAAGAAGTAGGTGGAACTGAGGATAGACTTCTGGTTTGGAAAAAAATTAGTAAGCGATGGTGCCATTAATTTGATGAGGAATAATAATAGAAAAAAAAACACAGAACAGACTTGGGTTAAAAATTGTAAGTTTAATTTTGTCAGTTTTGTCAAGTTTGAGATTCCTTTGGGACATGTTTCTGGAGATGTCTGGATACACGTCTGTTGGATACACATGACTCGGTCTTGGGCCACAGAGATGTGTTTGAACAAGAGCCATCAGCAGACATTGAGGTCATAGCTAGTGAATTTCACTAAGCAAGGTGATCATTCCATGCACAGTGGTGCAATACAGAAGGCAAGTATGCGTACTGTGCAAGTTCACAGATAGTTGAGACAGAATGGGGTTTAGCTACCCATGGATGGGTTTCTTGATGAAAGATGGGCTTTGGGACTAGAAAGCCTGGTAGAGAGTCAGGACACTCAGGTTCTTGGAGGCTCAGACCCCAGCCAGCTGTGGGACCTTGACCTTGTACTTATTCTCAATCTTCAAGGACCTTCTCAGCTCTCACATTCTATGTCCAAGGTTTGAAAAAAGTACTCAAATAAAAAGTAAATCAACACTGCAAGTATAGCTAAAAATTTATTGCAGAAACTTGTCCAACTATTTCTTAATAATGTTAAAAAGAAAAACAAAAATGAAGATAAAAATAAAGGTAGAAGTCCTGCCTGGAATATTAGTTTGCGTAGTGTCTAGTTGGTAAGCACTGTTCCTCCTAATTCTGTTAGGTTGCTTTAGAACTTGACTCCTAAGGGCTTGACAGACAAGGCAGAGGGAAGTGGGAGGAACTGAGAATAGATTTGAGGTTCCTTTGTGAGTCTAGAGGGGGGCAAAGGAAGTTCCTCCTAAAAAAAGTTAAGCCAATAATGGAGCAAATATATAATTTATTCCTCCAATACTACTTCCAGAATTTCTCCAAACAATGCAATAAGCAGACATAAAAGAAAAAGAGATGCCATCCCATTGCCTTTAATCCTTTTGTGAATATAAATGTAAAAAGTTCTGAACATCGTATAAGAGGAAATTATTCTATGTTGCTATAGATGCTTCATTCTCTGGGGTCCACAGTGACCCAACTAATAGGGGGTGGGGTGGGGAGAGCTCCAGATTGGCTTATTTTCCCTCGAGAGCACTTGATTTAAGGCAGGGTAGAATGAAATGTACCTAGACATACTCCTTTTCCTCTCTTAGGAAAGTCATCAGAGTAATAATAATGAGGGGAAAGACAGATTGATTTGAGTATAATCCATCGTTTAAGCACAAAACGAAACACAAACCTCATTATTGAAGAGTAATAAAAGTGAATCTAAGTGGCACTTGGTTTCCTACCAATAAAAACTGCTACCAGTGCGCTAGTTGCCTGTCTTTGTGAAATGAAGAGATGAATGCTACCTTTGTTCAATGGACCCATAATTAAGAGGTGGCTCAACATTGAAGGCTATTGCTTTTAAAAGATATTGCCTTGTAAATGTCAGACCAACGGAGATGCCTGGTTATGAAGGTTACACCTGCTAAAGGTAAACTTAATGAAACAGCCAATGGCATTGTCATGGTTTAGAGATTCACCCAATAGTTATGCACTTGCAGCTTCATGGAGTAGCATCTTAGTTTAATTCTTTCCAGCTTCTTTTCACTTTAAGGTGGAGTGTTGAAGTGTATGGGGGAAGGGAGTAATATATGTGTTGTAGACACACACACACACACACACACACACACACACACACACACACACTTTAGGAGCATTTTCTTCTCTGACATACTGGGTCATACTTAAAGTGAGTATTAGTTTAGAGTGATTTATGTTTTGCATATTATACACAGTTTCTTCATACTTTCCCTATTAGCCTTGGTACTTTTATCAGATACATCTTTCCTAGGAACTTGGCCTGGATGTTTTTATTACTTGGTGGTAGATAAGTTGTGAAACATACTTTGAAGTATGAATTCAGTCCTGGGAGACTTGCAGAGCAATGAACTTCCAGAAGGTGTTTGGGTCTATCCTGGAAAGCAGTCCTTTTTGCAATTTTTGTCACAGGGGAAGACAATTTGATCCCGAGCTTTTGGGGAAGGAGGTTAAGGTGGTTTTGCCCCAGGTGTCTGCTCCTTGAAATGGAACATGTAAAGAATCCTCCAGGGAACCAGCAGATAGTAAGTGCCGAACAAATGCCATCCTCTCCCAAAGGTATAAGCTATGTCCTGAGTATTCCACCAGTTCCCTGTTTTGTTTTGTTTTGTTTTGTATGTTACTCTTTGGATTAAGGATGGCTCTTTGCAATCAAAGAGCTTGGATCTCAGGACACGGTGTCTCTAGCATGTCTTCACAAGGCTTAAAAGTAGAGCAGAGGTCCTGTAAAAACTAAGAATTGGAGTGAATGTTGTCAGAATTCTGTGAGTGCCTTTTTAATGAGTCCCATGTATTTCCAAAGTGTGTCAGAATCATTTATTTCTCCGACCAAATAAATACCAGAGCCAGAATAAAGGAAAGACCCTTCAAGATCATCCACCCAATTGGCAGGACAGCTACCTCACAATAGAACAGTTTATGACTCCCATCACCTGAGCTCCACCCTTGCACCTGGCTTACTGTACTTTCTGGTTTGCTTTCTTTTGGATAATGGCTTTTCCAAAAATTAAACAGCAGCTGCTGGTTTTTGTCTTTCCTTTCCAAATCTGTCCTTGATCTGATCAGTTTGTTGTATTAAAAAGGTGGTAACAGGTAGGGTATTGAAAGAAGAATGAGAAATAGAGGGATGGTTGTTCCTTGGTTGATAAAGCAATCTGATCTCATTTCTGAGTCCCCAATTGATGTTTGTTTTTATTAAAAATGTCTGCAAGGGTAACTGTCCTGAGTATCTTATCCAGGAAAATCACATTAACTAGCTTTGCCACAGAGTCAATAGGAGTTACAAAAATATACGTCTGCGGATTAAAAATGACACAAAGCAAATTTGTCAACTAAAACAGATAGGCTTGGCAATGGAAGCATACATCCGACAATGTTCAAGTCCTAGATGCTGTTCTTATTTTTGGGGAAAAAATTATAAATTGCTTTTTCAAGTATGTTTGGAGCCTGCTGAGAACATTCTGAATAAAAAATGAAGGGTAACCCCGAAACTGCCCTCCCTGTCCTCCAAGGGGAGAGAAAGAGAGAGAGAGTGGTTGGGGGGTGGGGAGGGGAAGAGACCTGTGTGCTTCATCCAGGGGAAGTAATTGAAAATGCTAATTCCGTGCCCACAGCCTACAACTTTGAAGGACAGGTCCTTGTCATTGGACTCCTCGAGAAACAGCCGAGCAGAAATAAAAATAGATCATTGACCAAAAATATCACTTTCCAACTGAGAAGGTTTAAAGTGCTGCTGCCCATTTCTCTGTTTAAAAAATTAGAAACTAGCCTTTTTCTTCTTTATCCTGAGAACAGTGGAGACGGATGTATATGTGGTTGAGGAACAAATATTGTGGGTCTCAGTTTAAGAAATGTTGAGACATTTTTATTGTAATTTTTTCCCCCCTTGGCAAATGAATTGTCTGCGAGGGTCAAGCTCATGTCAAATCAGGAATTTCAAAGGTTCAAGTCTATTAGCAGTTTTTGGAAAGACGAATGTAGTTGGAAGTAATCGCCTTTTTTTTTCTTTAAATAAACAGAAGTTTATTGGTAATAATAATAATTATGATAATAATCCCTTTCTACTTTAATTGTAAGCCCAAGAGTTAAACCAGAATTTGTGACTGATTTGTAGTGTTTATAACCAGTGGGGTGGGGACAATTATGGCAACATAGTTTTGGAATATGCCCTGATCATATAGTACATTAAAAACTAGGCATATACTGCCAGAATGGTATGGCTTAGTGGTTGAGCATTGACCTATGAACCAGGAGGTCACAGTTTGATTCCTGGTCAGGGCACATGCCTGGGTTGTGGGCTCCATCCCCAGTGGGGGGCGTGCAGGAGGCAGCCAATCAGTGGTTCTCTCTCATCATTGATGTTTCTATCTCTTTCTTTATATCCCTTCCTCTCTGAAATCAATAAAAAACTATATATTTTTAAAAACTAGGCATATGCTTACTGGTTCGTGAGAATCAAATATTTTGCTAGAATGCAGGACTAGATTTGGAATCCCTCCCTTCCTTCGTCCCTTCCTTCTTTCTTCTATTCTTTAATATATATTTATTGATCCAGCGCTGTCTGAGCACACTGTCTGAAGACTCTGCCTGCATAGAGCCTACATTCTAGTAAGAAAGTACACAAATAAAAAATAACAATAGATAGTATGTCACATGATGGAAGAAAACAGAGTGAGGGAAGGAGGGTTGGTCATTTTGAGTAGGGAGGTCAGGGAAGACTCCGTGAGATGACATTTGCAAAAAGACCAGAAGAAGTTGAGGGTGTGATCATGTGGACGGCTGGAAAGGTGGGCTCCTGGTCACGGGGCCAGCAGATACAAAGGGAGGGAGTTGCCTGGTGTATGGAGGAAAGCAAGGCCAGCAACGGACGCAAGTGAAGTATCTACAAAGGAGAAAACAGTGAGAGGCCATGTCAGGGAAAAGGGGGGACAGGCCACATGTGTAGGGTCATTGACGTCACTGTCATGGCCACGACCTGTACAGTGAAGGAGATGAAGCTACCTGCAGGGTTTTGGGGAGAGGAGTGACATGATGTAACTTACATTTGTACAGGATGTTCCAGCCGCTGTTTAGAGAGTAGACTGAGAGGCAAGGGCGGAAGCCAAGACACCCACTAGGAGGCAACGGCTCTAACCCAGGAAGAGGTGACGGCGGCTTGGACCCCAGAGGTACGCCTGGGGGTGGGGAGACGTGGAGGGTCTCTGGATATACTGTGAAGGTAGTGCCAACCGGATTTGTTGGTGATTTTGATGTGGGGTAAGAGAGGAAGAAAATATCTGAGCCACAAACTCTCATTCTACAACCTTAAAAAGCTTAGCTTCTCACTCAAATATCAACTATAACAATAAAAATGTATAGGTGCACTGTACTTCAAAAATGGAGAAGCTTCTATTTACCTTATTTTAGATGAACTTCTGAGGTCTGATGATAGTAAATATGCTGACCAAGTTTATGTAGTCAATCAGTGGCAGACCAACACTCAGATTTCCTGCAGAATTGGCATCATAAAGATAATCTTATTTATTAAGTTTTAGGACCATAATGTATGGGGTTTCAGCTTTTGAATCATCTACAAAATCCTTTGAGAGACTGAGTCAAGGCCAGATATCTCAAATACTCTTGTTGGGAGTTATTATAGTATGTGACCATGTGACCAGGTATGACGGTAGAGGTGCTGACCTACAGTGACGTGCATTTGACCATGAACTTGGTGTTCCTTTTTCCTGGTAACTAGCAATTAATTTACCCAGCTTTCACCACCGTGCGCTTATCCGGTGACTCTTGTGTGACTCATTGGCAGTTGTGTGTGGCGTAGAGATGCCTTCTGAGTTAGTGAAGTAGAGCACACCTAATTAGCCTAACCAACAATTACAAATATGACTTCAACCCGCATAGTTAGGATGCCAACCAGCTGGCTCACCTATATGGTCTTCTTTTCATGGACACTGGCAACACCTGGCATTGTTTTAGAAAGCCAACTGGCCGCACCAGGTTTTAGTATAATGGATGGATTCAAAGTGAAGAGCAAGTTCAACTAGCAATTAATGGAAAATAATATAAATGGGGGGGGGGGGAAGCCCTACACATTTAGTCCATCAGAGGCAATACCATTTAAACACCTTAACCTCAAAATCATTAGTCTTGAATATTTCAATCAATATGGATTCTCTCAAAAATCAATTTGCTGCTACAAATATGATTGTTTAATAATTCACAAGTTCTGGGCCTTCAGGCTAGAAAGGGTGAGGGCAGCTGAGGCAAGAGGTAATCGCCACCTTAGATACGATTTCAATTGAAGAAAAGAATGTCTACGCAATACAGCTTCATGTTAGACCTGACTGTCTTTTATGTGCGTGTGTTTTGAGCTGTATGTCCTACGGGGAAGATATCAATGTAGTTCCGTTCCATTGTTTACTTTCAGATCAGAGCTATTTAGCTATTTTCCTAGCATCATAAATATTTTATTAAAAGAAACCATAGCAAATTTCGGTTTTACTTACTAGATTAAAAACAATCATTTTAAATAGCTAACGACTGGTGCCAAGTCACACAGACAGTCTTCCCTTCGTGCCTTTTCGGTTTCATATCAGGGACGGTGATACTGTTTTGTAAGTGTTGCCTTTCCAGGGCCCCTTGCCCAGTGTCATCACTTGGGATCACGTGACTTCCCAGGACTTGTCATTCTTTCTAACACATCTCATTCATGCGAAATCTGTTTGCTAAACAGACGTTTCTAAGTCTGGCTGCAGGAGAGCTCTCTACCGTCCAGTTACACAAGGCGGACATACCAATTACTAATGAATCTCAGAGGTCATTAAGATGTGATTCTCTCACTCTTGAGTCTCCATGAGGAGTCTGGCCCAAGAATCTTTTCAGCTCTTAAGAGGAGAGCATGTGTGCAGTTTCATTTTGTTCTCAAACAACCATTTTAACAGCCACTGATTAAAACGTCCTTCTATGCTATTTTATAATGGACTAGGCAACTATTGGAGTGGGGCTCGAGAAGGTCGCCTCTGGACACCCAGGAGAATTTGTCCTGTCACCTGCGTGCCTTGGTCCTGCCCCCACCCTGGGCCACACCCCATGTAGGGCTGGGTGACCTTCCTGTCTGTTTGCATAATCTTCCTTCCTTGGATTTATTCTCCACGCCTGGGTCAAAACATGGGGCTCATTAATAAACATTTATTGGGCACCAACAGGGTATTATGTTCCAAATATATTCCCTTCCCTGTGGGCTTGGAATCCACAATTCTGGCTCCTAGCAGCCACCTCTGCCCTGATTTTGAGGAGAGGACGTTATCTCAGCATTTGAAAGGACATTCAAATATTTGTGAACTTCAAAGGGAGACAGTCCTTCATCCAGAATGTCCTTTCAGATGGCCAAAATGTCTACATAGTCCGCTTGTCTCGTAAAGTCTACTGAACTGATTCTGGGATGCGGATAAGCCCTGATAAGGTTAAAAATATTAAAACTCAGAGATCGTAATTAGGCTATCAAGTGAAAAGCATCTGTTCAGTTAGGTGTGAGGACAGTAGAGAGAGTAAAAAGAACCTCATAAAAATCGAAGAGCATCGTCAAGGTCATTGGCATAGAATTGTTAAAGTCATTTGGACTAGGTGCTGGTGTGCTCAAAATCCGATCAGTAGGCAAAGTTAGGATGTGTGGAGCTTTTCACCGAAGCACGATAAATAATTGAAAACGCCTTTAGCAAATTTCTGTTTTAATGGGAAAATACTTTGTCATGCAGTTTTTCAATTAGTATTCGCTAATTCAAATTGGTTTATCATTTAGCCAACTGCACATTAGATTTTCAGTGATGCATTTTCCCATCTTCATTTTTATTTGTGGGTTTTGCAGTTGACAGTAAAACTTTGGGGGGGCTGGGCTTCAATCATGTTTCGACCGTTGGTTCCCAGCTTTTTTCTGCTTGATGCAACACCTGAAGGATGAAATTAAAAAGCCACCATCAGTGGCTCAATGGAACCTGGCTTGAGGGAAGGGCCATGGGACTGCAGCCCCTTGAATTAGAATCCGGGTGTAGGAAAGGGATGCATTTCAAATTGAAATAAAGAAGATGGCAATTCTTTCATGTGCCTGTGCCCCTCCTCCTCTCAGGTTCAAAGGAATCCATTCTCCATGTCAGATTTAACGTTCTTGTTTTCTATAGAAGGGATAATAGTTCAGAATGTGCTTAGGTAAATAGCAATCATTAAGTGGACTCATCATTGGATTCGTTCAGGAGCTCCAGTTGATAGAAACATAAAAGAGATCCTCTGTTTAATTTTTTTTTTCAATTTGGTGTCAAGCAAGGCCAGCCCAAAATAAAGTTTCTTGGTCACCATAAAGGATTTCCACATTCATTCATTCATTGTTTAAGGAGTGCCTACAGAATTGTGTTACCGCTCTCAGAATATCATGTTTGCATTTTTTTATTTCTCACTTCCCCCTTTGGGCTCTAAGTTCTATGAGGGAGAGAATGTTATGTCTCTGCCGTGTCCCCAGAGCTTAGAATAACAACTGGCACATCAGAGAAATCCCTGTATATTTGCTAAACGAATGCATACGTGATTGAATGATTCAACATGTGTATAAGAATCAAATCAATACAAGCATATTTAAAGAAATAAATATAAAGGTTAATCTCATCTAAAAATCCCCCCTCCCCAGAGTAAGCTTGGGACCATTAAGGTAGGGAATTCCAGGGTCCCAGGACTTAACAGGGTTGAGAATGGAGGTACATCTAGGTGCGTACATCCTCTTGATCCATGGAGAAGGTCAAAGCAGAGCCAGCTAAAGTGCAGGGCCCAGATAGGACCCCCTCTTGCTCTGGTCTAAGGGGAGTCCTGGGTAAACATATCTCTTTGTATATGAGATTATTGTGGCGATGGCGTTTAAGCTAGAGCATCTTCCACAAAACCAGGTAATGATTAGATGGAAACTTGCACTAGAAAACCACCCACATATTGAAGAAAAGACGGAGCTGTGGAAAGGCATGCAAGACACTGAACACCTCAGGGACTGACAGCTCTAACTGAGGGCTGACTTTCCTGCCATGTGCAGTGGTTGGAGGAAAGATGAGTTCTTAGGGGACTGAGCCGTGACACAAGGAATCTGAGGAGTGGGGGGAGAGGCATATGTGCATATTTTCAGGTTCCTAATACTTGATGTGACTATAATATATTTGACTTGTATTTCCATGGTTAGTTGAAAACTGGCTCCCTAAAATATATTCTGTTCCCTCTTTCAAAATCTGACTCTCCATCAAATGGAATTTCTTTCTTCAAAAAAAAAAATGTAGTGAAATGTGATTAGTGCAAATGTCTGTGAAATTTATTGTACTATTAAAATCCTATTGGGTCTTTGTTTATGAAATGTATTTTTCTGTATTTGAGGTTTAAGGAGGCTTGATAATGAGGCTGTGAAGATTCATGGGCTCTTTTCTGTGGCTTAATTTAGGCTCTATATCAAATATGTAAAATAACATTATATCTTTCCACCACCTCTGTGGATCATACATTTTGTTATTATTTCCCTGCCAGAGTTTTTTTTCTTCTCTCTTTTTTTTTTTTTAAAAAAAAAATACTGAGCTACTAATAGTTTGGGCATTTTTTATAGATAGCCATTATCTTAGAGCAGAAAAGAGGTTATGTAAGTCTGAATGGCAGTTTCTCTTTCTTGGTCTACCCCCAGGTTTAGGTGGTCCCGTACTGACTCACATTTATTGCTGACTGCCACGCTCGCCCCTCCATACACTTTTACCACCTTAGGAAATACATATTTCTTTGCGGACTGCATGTACCTAGCTCCCATGGCCCATTGTTCAGTTTCTATAGGGGGCAGAGGAGTAGCTAGGCAGTTGTCCACAGGGTGCAGAAACTGAGATGATCGGGGGCCTGGTCCACTTGGAAGGAAAGGAGGTGGCTGGCCAAGCACACCTGTGATGTAAGGAGGCTCCAATGATTTTCAGTCCTTCCTTATTTCATCGCAGAACTACAGTTAAGGCCTTTCCACAAGCCGTTCGTAAGTTCTGTGGTTTGCTTTTCTCTTGACCTTCATTGCAATAGTGACTTCACATTGCTCTGAGGATGAAGACTAGCATCCTAAAGATGGTCTACAGGTCTCTTTCTGGTGTGTCTCCATCCATCTCTCTCTCTCATTTGGCTCAGC